ATATATATATATATATAAAAGTTTAGATATGAGAATGAGATGTTAGTTTGGTAATTAAATATTTTCTATCGCATGACATGACTGAAAGAAATAATAATTTTTAGTTTTCAAATTGATTTGATGATTATTAATTTACTATGAAAAATAATTTATAAAAAATTCTCCACAAAAATAAAATTTTTGATATTTTAATAGTGACAATATTTTTCTTCAAATAAAAAATTATTCAAAAAATGCATAAAACAGTAGTAGAAATTTTGAAAGATTTCTCGTGCATATTTAATCAATATGCAAATATATAGTAGTTATGTGATATGTGTGTAAATATTCTTTTATTTTAACATATAATAAAATACTTTATTATAAAATAAAGTAAATTAAAAAATAAAAAAGTTGAGAAAAAAAACTGATTAGTTTTAATATTAATCACAGAATAACATGGCGGTTTGTAGGCGGCATCAAGACCCTAGCGCGGTGTATTTTATGTGGAGCTCGCAGTCGACCTCTCCAAATCCCTATACCTGTTCGCCGGAAACATGGCCCACCTTCCCCCTCCCCTCCTCTCGTGACCGAAACCCAGTCCACAGCGACGGAATCGCGGCGCACAAAGACCTCAGAAACTCTTCCATCTTTCTCGTCTCGTTTTTAGTGTTTGGCAGGATTTAGTTTTAATTCTGCTACCAAGCAGGTCCTTATAGTGAACCGGTGAGAGCGATCTGCAGTCGTAATCGTCGGGAGTGAAGAGAGATGAGAGTGCCTAAGAGCTCCGCGGCGAGCCGGCGGCCGACCATTATTCTTTTATTAGGCGCGGCCATCGCGTTTTCCATCCTCGTCGCCTCTATCCAATCATCATTATTTGCGGGTAAGTGATGGGTAACAGGAGAAATGCTATCTTCTAGATCTCATTTGATAACCTCAAATATTTTTTCCTTGGTTTCAGGAAAGCGAAAATCAGATATAAAGAGTGAGGAGATCAGTATACTGTCGGATTTCCAGTTACGGGTTCAGCAATGCGTGGTATGGCTTGAAATTGTGTTTCTTTGGCTTCGACTCATGCTTTTATGTTAGGTTGGGAGCGAGGTAGTGATTTTTGATATAGTAAAAATGTTTTAAAAGGTGCTAATGAAGGTAGATTTTGATGCAATTAGTTATAACTTGTCAAAATAGATGCTTTCATGATAACAATCCTAATTACGGTGATAAAGTTCTCTTAGATTCTGATAGAAATCACATTTATGCGCTGTCAATCAGTTGGGATGAGAAGCGTTGTCAATTTATAGAAAAAGTTAGTGCGTGGAAAATTCATGTCTAGAAATTGATCATTATTTTTGGATCGTTGAAGGACAAAGAGCATTGCTATACTCCCCAAAAATATTTACGCAAATGCCTTTGGTGTCCAATTATTGAGTTGGATACAGAAAAATGGTGATAGTGTTCTACACTTTTGTTTTTGAAGCTTTTATGTTGGCTTTTCTAATAAAAAGTTGTGTGATTCTCGTTTAATTGTTGGTTTTCTGTGAAGGATAACATTTTTCAATGACAGTTTATGTGATTGAGAAAAAAAAATATTTCCTAGGAGAGATGTCACATCAAATCTTTTGAATTTTTCATTTTTTTTTTCATGCCAATTGTTATGTTTTTCTTGGTGCTCAAAATAAAATCATTGTCCATTTATAGTATGACGCTTTCTGCATTTGCCAATCTTATGGAACCATGCTTTGAGGATGCAATTAGTCATCTAGCTATTTTATGATCATGATTCATGAAAGCTGGAATTGATTAGGAATTATTTATTTCTTCTATGCTATTTCTTATTTTCATGAGGTTTATTATATTATTATTTTTTTTTTAGGGTATATATGGTTGTGTGTATAAAAAAATAAAAATATCTAATAAGAGGAGTTGAATCAATTCATTGTCGTGCTCTTCCATGGGATTTGAAATAGATTGTAAGTTGTTTTTGACTTTAATCAGATTGCATAAATCTAGTTTAATAGTATTCAAAATGATTGCATATATATCATACATATAATGTATATAATATTATTATATGTAAAATATATGCTAACATATATTCATAGATAGCTAAATAAAAAATATGTTCAAGAGGACTCAATAAATTTTTTGGGTACGCTTGAAATAAAGCAAATTTTAACCAAATTGAATTGGTTAATTCAATTTCAGTTTCAACTTGTGTTTGAATTAGCGGGATCAAAATTACCCATTTCAACTAGAATCAAATTTAATGAAAATTGGACTTGTGATTTCCTCGAAGTAATTGATTTTTAGTTGTTTTGATATTTTTTTTATGAATATCTCCCTTATGCAAAAGCTATTTTATATGGATTGGGTGAAAATTTATGTAGCGCAAATTTTGGTTAGGTTATTTCTTCTCTTATGTGTTTTAAGGAGCCAATGCAACCCACTTTTAAGGATTCAACATTTCACATGATTTGAGGTCAATATTGATAGTTTAAGTAATTAGTGCTTATATTTTTGCCTATTGGTCTCTTTTCTCTCTATGATGTTAAGAATTTTGTTTCCATTAATCTTTATAATAGATTAAATATTTAAAGAATGAAAAAAAAATATATATATTGTGGAATTACGCTCATTATTATTTACTTTAATGTTATTTAGTACTTGCTATATTTTGTGATAGTATAAAAATAGTAATTCTTAATTATAGGTATTTATGTTTATTCTATAATTATAGGAATTACTTAATTGTAGGAAGATTTCTTTCCTTGTTTTATTTCTTGTAAACGCCTATTTATAGGTGAATTATCTATGTATTCATTGAGAAGAAAGTTATTCAAAAATTCACATGGTATCAGAGACATCAAAGAAGAGAAGCCTCTTCCACTAGCTCGATCACGGCCTTTCTCTCCCGCGATCCTCCTTGACCGAGCGCTGCTGTCCGAGCGCTGCTCCTACCGATCGCGCGTCTGCTTTCGTGTCCGCGTCCGTCCGCT